CACTTATTCCGCACAAGCCATTTTCTTTGCCTTCTTTTTTTTTTTGTTAAATAACAATTTTTCTCTATAATTAGGATTTTGGATTGCAAAATCGCATTCCTCCCTTCTGCGTAGATTCAGCTTGGATCTTTAGCTACGATTAGAAAAGGGTGTTAATTCAAGAAAGGAGGAAGAGGGAGAGGTGGTGTCAGCCAGAGATTTGGGGAAAAGAGGGGGCGGAGAGGAAATGGTTCTCAGTGTTCACCCCACTCCTCAGGCTGCCCCTACCTCCAGCCCACGCACCCGGGATTTCACTTCTGACTTTCTCTAGTCTAAATATTCTGATTCTCAATATTGCCTGTTTCCAAGTTAAGATTCCAAAAACCAGTTTTTCCTTGTGATTGGTTCTTTTAGTGATGGAACAGAAGAGGCCAGGAAACCTCACAGAACTAGGCAGGGAAGAGGGAAAACCTCTGTCCTCAGATTCTCCCCACAGCGATGGTTGTAAAGGAAGCCCTGGCGCCTGAAAAGACGTGACAAGGGTACAGATTCTTCTCTTGCAACCAATATTTGCCCTGGTTGGGTGTGACCACATCCCCGTTTGGAGGCCTGTAGAAGTGGGTTTCTGACCTCCTTTGGGGGACTCACCAGAAAAGACACAGGCCTGAGGCCTCCAGGACCGTAGGCTGCCTCAAACTAGGCCCAGGGAGAGGAGGAGAGGAAGGGGCCCAGTGTGCAGGGGTCCGGGAGAGTATTGCTGACAGAGGCCAACCTTGGCTTATGACCCCCAATAGCCAGGGCTCAGCTCAGGTCATTCTCAGGGTCCCCTCCTCTGGTCAGGAAGGATCTGTTTACAGGGTGACTGATAAGCTGCTGACAGGCCCTGAGCTTCCCACAGATTGATAAAAACAGTGAGGTCCCTAGCTCTGGGGTTTGGGCCCTGTTCTATCCCGGTATTCTCCTCATGATTTTCAACACCATCCATGCCTGGTCACTCAAGGCCATAAGAGGGCTTAAGGGGCACTGACCTCAGGCCAGGAAGCAGTCACCAAAGTTGAGGCCTTGCGCCACATAAGTCCCTCCTGCCACAATTTAAATGCAGACAAAGGCAGGGGTGGGGAGATGTCTGGGGAGCTGCTGAGAGAATGGCTGGCTGAGGTTGGGTTCCAGAATGTGAAACTCAGGTCTTAAAGGCTGGGGTGAAAGGAAAGTCACAAGGATGCTGAGATTAAGGGCCCTGCCAGTTTCTGCGCACACCCCCACGCCACAGCGTCCTCCCCGCCCCAGGTCCTTTGTACACCTGCTTCACAGGGCCCAGTCGCCCTAAACATTGCTGCCCGGAGCTCCATGGCCTGAGCTGAGCAGGGGCTTGTGCCCTGGCCTCCCTCTGGAGTCTTCTGACGGGTGCGCAGCAGGTGCGCACGGACTGGAGCCAGGATGACAGGCCAGGGCAGGCAACTGCCTGAGGTCACCAGGAAGTCCCTCAGGGCCGGCCCCAGCTCCAGGCCCAAGGCGGAGCCCAGGGTTGCTGGTGCGCACTGGTCGCTGCAGGCAGCTAGGGCCCCGCCAAGACACCCAAGGCGCAGCCAGGCGCGGGAGGCAGGAACGGGGCCCCACCCAGCCCCCTCGGGGCCCGCGCCGCTCCCAGGGGGCTCGGGTCTCCAGTGGAATTTGGCTTACAGTTTCCCGGAGGACTTGCCCTGGCCTCTGCCGGGCAGCCGGGCTTGCAGATCTACCCGCCTTTCCGCACTCCTAGGTGGGCGCATGGAAGGAGGGAGCTGGAGTCTGCGCTGAAGGCTCTGCCCTTCACCTGGAGACCCCCGCCCCACCCGCGAGCTCCCGGGAACCTTCTGTAAATAAGATCATTGGTTCCAGATCATTTGATTTTTTACTCATTAATTTTCTGGCCCATTTTCCAGATCTGTCCCCCTCTTTTTCTCCCCTTTGGTTAGAGACAGAAGCAGGAGGGAAAAGAGAAAGAGGGACATCTAGAGAGCAAGTTTAAAAGTCCTCCTGGAAATGGCGATATGGTCTGGGTTACCCGTGGTGTATATACAAAGCCAGCCACGCAAACTTTATTAGGATTCTTCCACCAGGGCCAGGAATAGGCTCCAGACATTTCCCAGGCATGCAGAAGCTGTGTCCGGAGGACAAACTTTGAAACTCCTAATTTCAAGAAGGATCTTTTTTACATAGGCCCTCTTTCTCATAGGGAGCTTGTGTCAGGGGTTGAACTAAGAAAGTCTCATGGCGTCTTCATACATACATCTCCTTTTCCCTCTCTCTTTCCCTTTTTCTTAGAGAAGGATTTATTAATGAGCAGATAAATATTTTGAAACTAAAACAGTGATGTATGCATCTGAAACACTTTTACAGGGCCAGATTTTAAAAAAAAATCCTTTGTGATAGCACAGGAGAAAAAAAAAATATCTGGGGTAATCATTTTGAGATAGAATTTATTAAAAGGGGATATTTGTTTCCTTCCATTTTCAGGCAATGAAGGAAACGTCTTCTTTCATCTGCCATTTATTTATTTATTTAATCTATGAACCCCTTTAAAGTGCCTTTGCAGCGGGGGAAAGTTATTAACAGACAAACTTGCAGTTTCTACTTTTGAAGCTAACTAAAGTGATCACAGGGCAGAGTTAATGGGTCTACTCTGTTCCTTGGTAGACATAAGAACTTGGTCTGAATTCTGTCTTACTCAGAACAACCTTCCCATGTGGGTCAGCTCCCTCCACCAGACTTTCCATAACTTGGAGGGTGTGGAGACCCAGGAGACGTTTTTCAGGGTACGCTGTCTGTGTTAATTCACTACACTTCTGAAACCTCCCTTGCATTATCAGTACACACTCTTAAGCTATTTAAAAAATATTCTTCCATGGTTAGTGTAGGAGGCTCAGTGCTGTCAGACATCTGGCTTAGATTACACCATCGTGGTCCAGCTTGAAAAATCTCCTCTCACTCCCAGGCGAGACCCCCTTGCCCTCATCACCCTTCCCCAGTGACCGATCTGGGCAAAGGTACTGAGAACAGAGAAACCACATGGCTTTTGGACTCTGTTCAGGTGTGCAAACAGAACTCCCCCCTCCACCCCCCCATTCTGGCTTTTGAAAGTAAATGCCTTGATAACTGGATGGGTTCCCCAGGTAGCAGGAGAGTAGAGGTCATCTTGAGGAAAGTGACACCAATGATCTAAAAAGGACATCTACTTTATGAGATTTCAGGCAAGAAGCCAAATATTGCATTTAATGAGGCTGATTCTTTTTCTCCAAAAATAACGGAGACTATCAATGATATGGTCAGGAAGGAGAAGGGGGCATTTTGCAAGACTCTGTTCAATTATTGCTTTGTAATATTTTTCTAAAATTGAAAAATGCCTCACAAGTATATGATCTCATGTAAATATTCCTTGCCGGAGCTTAACAGATGTTTGCAATGCCCCAGAGGAACGACAGCAATGTTCTCTCCAAAATTTCTTAAGCTTTTAAACTCTATTCACTTGTATTTCTGAAAGAATCTGTTGTTTCTGGAGATCTTTAAGAAAGCATCTTAATTGGAAAGTTTATATAGTCATTGTTTTAGAGGTTAAGTATTTGAACTTCAAATGGAGACCAATTTACTTTACCGATACACTTTTGAATTTTGTAATTTCTGTATATGTCTTGTTTCTTTTTGACCCCCCTTTTCAAAGAAATAATATGTTTGATGAAAGATTAATACATGAAAAAGAATTTGTACCTTAAGGCTCTAAAAGCATTTGTACCATGAAATAGGAATGCAGGCACATAATGTATTGGGGACAGTTCTGGCAGATATCTAGGGTCAGTTTTGTTACCCAAGCATTTTAGGGCATTGTCTTACTGTTTAGGGAAAGAGCATTTGAAAGAATCAAGACAGTTACAGTGAGTGACAAATTTTGGTGAAGAAAGACCATGTGTTCAGTTACAACTGCCTGCAGACAGCATGTGGATGGACATAGTCTATCTGTTCACACCAATTGTAAGGTACTCCAAATAAAATACAGGGGATTAAAGAAAAATAACTGACTATCCTTGTTGGAAAAAAATTAGATTGACTTACTAGTTTATTGTAGCTATTATACACAGATTTGCTGTAACTGTGTTGAATTTTTAAATTAGATTTTAAATATATTTTGACAGTCTGAATTTGTATAGTGGGACTAACTATAGGAAGCAATGACAGGTCTGCTTTGTTATTAAACTGCTGTCTGGAAAATATTGGGCTCTGTACAGTAAATGATCATTATTTTGCCACTTACATTAGTACAGCTAATGGCAATAAGGGTTTTTTGAACCATAGAAAGCTAACTACTTTGAATTACTGTGTTTTGTTATTCATTGTGAAGCAAAATGTCTTTTTTTTTTTTTTAAGCAACCTCATTTTGGTATCACTGTTCTAAGTACTCCCTGCTAGGAATTTAAACAGAGAAGTGGTTAATAAATAAAGGGGTAGTATCTAAATGGTTCTATTTGTTAAGAGAACGTTTGCAGTTAAGGTCGGCAGTGTTAGCAGGACAGAGCAGAGCAACAGAGGAGCGGGTAGAAAATGGAAGAGAATGTGGCCTAGTTCACTGCCTGCCAAAGCTGGACCGGGGGTCCTCTAAGGGATGGGCCATCAGCAATCGCTTGTGAATGAGAAGCCCATCAGAAATGATTGAATCCTTCCCACATGGAACCCAGAATCTCTTGGGTCCCTTTGAACTGCAAACAGCTTCAGGACTGACCCAGACTGCAAGGCCGGTGGGTTCAGGCTCCCAGTGGGGGAGCCAGAGTTCAGAGGCAGCCACCAGCAGTCTAGGCCACCCCCTTCCATGCCAACCCCTCCTCTGATCTGACTGGGCTGAGGCCACCAGGCAGAAGCAAGTGGAACTAAATCAATCTTCTTTTGGTCCAACTCTGCCCTTTTCATAGTTACGCTGCCATTAACATACTGTCCTTGAAACATTCTTCATGGTTATTAATTACCCTTTGTTTATTTTAATATATTTGCTAAATCAGGTACCCAAGGGAGTCCTCTACATCAGTGATGTGAAAAGTCCAGTTGCCTGAAGTCAAAGAGGTACATCTTGATTTTTGATTTGCATGCGCTTGTGTTAGTGAGTTTGCCGTGAGAGGAGAAATTAGCCAGCAAGCAGGGAATGCTGCTCATTCTTTGGGTGTGAAAAGTTCCCGTTTGGAATAGTTTTAGTATTTAGGTTTCACATGCACCCTACAACGTGATACTAGATGCAGCAGAGGAGTCATAGAAGCAATGTGTGTGAGAACCAGCATGCATTCATTGTCTGTATTTATTTCATTACATCGATGTCACTTACAGAGTAATTCAGTCTAAGTAGATCTCAGATCTTTGGCTTGATCCCACATAGTGTGTTGACACTGCAAAAGGTGAATGTCAGGCCATTTGGATGAATCCATGCAACTGGCATTCATTGCCCTTGGGTAGTTCTACCTGGGCCTAACAAATATTCCAAATTTAGAGTTGCTTATAATTTGGTCCAGACTCACATTTGGAAAATTTAATATAATTTCAAAGCACAGTGTGGCCTTCCTTCTGCATCCAAATGTGTCTCTGGAACAACTCCCCACTTCAATTGGAGACAGAAGGGGAGGGGAGGAGACAAGTGGGAAACAGAAATCTGATTTTCATCTACTAAAAAAAAAATGAAATTGAGCTATTTAAATGGGTTTTCAATTACAAGTATCCCAGCATGAATTTAATTATAAACCCTCTTCATTTGGAGAGGTAGACTAACACCGTCACACCAATAATTATTTAGTGTCGTAGTTCTATGTATTCTTGTTACCTCTCATTGGCTAATGGCACAGAGTTTTTTTTTTATTATTGAAATTTTTGCTTGCTGAGAAATTTGCATGAAATACATTTTTTTTTTCTTTTTGGTTCCTAGTGGAAACTGAGGGGGGCAAAAGTCACACTGTCAAATTGCTACTCTTTGCAAAAGAGGCACTTTAAAGATCTGGCAAATGGAGAGCTTTGGAAAAACAGAACTCATTTCTTCTCTCTATTCAAAAATAGTATCTGATTACTTACTACTACATGCTGCTATGATGAGAGTCTCGCTGAATAACTGGATTGTGAATGTGAAATATTGTTTCATTGCTAACCTTATATGAAATTAACATTTTCTTTAATAGTTTCCATACATGGATTTTAATTCCATGTATACCTTTGAGGTTTACTGATGTGTCTGTGTGAGCGCATGCAGTTCCAATACTTTATTCCTCTCTTGTTCTCATCTTTCTAATTGCAATTTGAAAATGGCCGGTTCAATATGATGATCTAGGACTACAAAGCCACTGTGCAGGCTTTGTGACGTTGAAACCATCCGTTTTGAACAAAGAGTTAATGAACTTTAAAAGCAAGGTTCACACTGGTCCTGACCCTCCTGGTAATATTTCATATAAGGTTACTGGTGGGAGAGAAATCAAATTTCAGCTGTGAACATGATTGACAGGAGAGAGCAAGGAAGAGAAAAGAAGAGAAAGGCATTTGGTCATATGGGGAATTTGGGGATGAGGAAGACAATTCCTTGAAGTTCCTCTGTGATATTAGATATTATAAGCTGATATATGAAAAGTTCAATACTTGGTCCTCTTGGGGGAGTTACTTAGTTTATTTTCAGAAAGTCACTTTGGTTAAGGGATTTCAGGAGTGAAAACCAAAAAATGGTGAACCACTAGGTTTTCTTCTCTTTGGCTAATTCCTACCATGTTCAGGTTTGTGACTTATTTCCAGCAGTTTTCTAGGCTAAGGTCTGAAAATTAAATCACAAGCCATTAGGGGAGCCGTTTAATTACCTTTCATTTATTCTCAGAAACACGGTCCAGATTATATAATGGTTCGTGGACATATTACAAAATATTCATCCCAAGTGGTATCGCAAAAAAAGATGAAATTTTCCTTTTTGGTAGCATCCCTTGATCCTGACTAACATTTTTCCATGAACGCCTGGTGCAGCCTAACATATGCAAATCGACCCCGATGATGCATGGTGTATCAAGACTGCGCTTTCTGGAGGAGGTCTTCTAACCCGAGATGCACACTCCACCCTTCTTGTCCACCTTTCACCCAGTATGGCCCACTTGATGGAAAGTGTTTATAGGTAGCATCGCTGCTAACTGAGGTGCGATTGTTGCCATGGAAACATGTAAGGACACTGTGTGACCCTCACATTCAGGGTGGTTCTTGGATGAGCCTCGGACTCTGTCTGCAAGTTTGAATCTTCACAAGGAGATGCCCTACAGCCCATGACTTGCACCGAGCTGGAAAGCAGGTCTTCCAAATGTGCTCTTGTGTGCTAGGTGCTGAAACCCCAGTTGGGAAGGGGGTGATAGATCTTAGCCAGCTCAGGTCTGTGTTCTGCCCATTTCAGATGTTCCTGACCTTGGCTCAGACCCCTCTGGATGCAGCCGAGCCTTGCAGAGCTGCCTTGAGGAAGGCAGGCGTGATACAAACAGGGGAGAGGCCTGCTGTGGCTTTGCATTCACTTATAGGGAATGCTGATGGGACCCGTAGAAACAGCATGTCCTCGGTTCCAACGTACCCATCAATTGTTTCTCTAGTCTTATGGCTTGGACATGTTTTACCCTGACCGTACTTATGTCAATGGTAGGAATTCAAAAGGCTGTCAAATGTGAGGAAGGCATTGCTGTCTTGTGAGTGTGGATAAACTAAACCACAACAGAACAAAACCAGCCCAAGTGCTCAGAAACCTCGTTTCTATTTTGCTTACTCTTCTTTCTGTGTTGCCCATAATCTTTCAGAAATAAAATGCAAAATCCTGATGCCCAGTGTTGATGGGGTGTCTCAGCACACCATGTGTGACTATTTAGTTCAAATGTAAAAGTAAAGAGACCTTAAGCTGGTGTCCCTGGCGGGAAAGGCTGGTCTTGGCCCTGTCCTCACTGAAGCCTTCTCAGGGCTTCTACATACTTAGTTCTCAGAATTAAACTCACTCACCCACAACCAGAGCAGGAGCATGCTATCTTGCTGGGAGATCTGCAATGGGACCCACCTATCACAAACTCCATGATAGAACTCAAGCATGTTGCATCAGGGTGTCTATCTAACAAAATCAAGGGGAGCACTTCTGTTTAAGGTATTTCATTGTTCAGACTTCCCCTGACTGCTTTTGTTGTTGTTGTTAGTTTATTTCTCTCGTGCCTTTCTGTATCAGCCACCGCACTCCCTTTACATAGTCTGGCTAACGTCTTCCATTCTCCAGACACTGGCCCACGACCGAGCTGATTCAATCAATTAATTATAGCAGAAGAACTGGTCTAATGATGCCACACGAACGTGTATTATTTTCAGCCAACTCTGGTATACTGTTAGCGGGGTGGACTTAAAGAAATGTGATGGATTTGGGGGGAAGAAAGGAAGAAGGAATTTCTACACGAGTGCAGGACTCATTACTTAAAACAATGATGCTTCTGTAAAAAGCTTTCCTTCTAAAAGCACGCCGTGCACTCCGTCACCTGCCAAAAGCTCAGATTTACTGCTGCTGTTCGCAGACGCCAGTGTTGAAACTCCCTTCACCTGCAGCTTGCTGAGTCTCTCACTTCCTCACTCCAAAAAATTGCTGTCAAGTTGTTGTTTTGTGTCTGCATTTTTTTTTTTTTTTTGCTTTTCCTGGCACCTCATGAAATTATCAGCAATAAATGAGCTAAGCACCAGGGTTGAGGGTTTTGTTTGTTTGTTTGTTTTTGCTTTCCATTTTGTAATATTTGGAAAATGCCAGGACGAGGGAAACCCAGGGGGAAAATTCAGTGTGCCTCTCTAGCATCTACAGGAAATGTAATAAAGCTATTAGCACTTAGATCCTCGCAGATGGGAACTAGACTGCCCCCAGTGGGGGAGGGCAGGGCCCAGTTTCAGGTGCTCCATGGGAAAAATCAAACCGGCTGTGGGATTTACAGTTCTCCTCAATGGGGACAAGATGGCCACTGAGCAGTCACCTCAGGTGTAAGCTGCTGGAAGACATTCTCACCTGATTAGGAATCCAGGGCACATCTTATGACACAGTCACTGGTAAGGTGAGGCAGACACGTCCAAAAACAGAGGCAGAGGGAGCTGTTGGTAGGAATTGCCAGCATCTTCTATTAATGCGGTCATTCCCATGCAGCCAGTGACGATTTCGAGTCATTTCAGTCTATTGAAAAGCAGGGGAAGTTCATTTGCTCCCAGGTAGGCAGCGAAGGTGAGAATTGAATTGATCTGAAATGCTCTGAGAAATTGACCCTGAGGTCGTCTTCCTTCAAATTGGGCGCTGGGCTGGAAGTTTCTGTTCTTCTTCTACCTGCGTCCAGCAGCAGGGCCGAGTTGGGGTTTGTGATTATTTAAAAGGATCCTAATGCCGGGCTGACTCGGCCTCTGTAAAGTTAATCAACGCAGAGTCCCTGTGTTACCCATGGTGGTTGATTCAAGGGCTGGAGTCTACACTGCACAGTGGTGTGCCTCAGGCTTGCTTATGCTTCAAATGAGGTTCGTTCCTGATGTGCAGGAAATGGGGGAGAAACCTAATGTTAGGGGTCTTGCTGGGCTGAGTGTTTTGCATAGAAAAGAATTTTCTGTTTATTTTCCCTACTTTTTTTCTTCTTTACTCTCTCTCTCTCTCTTTTCATGGAGCAATTGGGATTCTTTCACATCATTTTAAGGTGCTCATTGTACCTTGAGCAGGCTGGACCATGAGCTGCCTCTGGGAAGGCGCTTAAGTTCACTGGCAGGGATGCTTGACACAGCTGGCCTCTCAGCAGCGACGGAGCCAACAGAGGTTAGAAATCTCCTTCCCCGCAGTGGACCTTTGTGACCCAGCCTAAGACTTGCTTTATGAGGCTTTGCGTCTGTGCCCCTCATGCACTTGAAGTTCTGTGCCAACAGTTGAAGGCTGTTTGTTGAATTGTTATTATATTTTTCCCCCCAGACTTTTCGTATCTTCTTTTTCTTTTTCTCCTTTTCAAGCTCTGAGCAGTTTTTTTTTTTTTTTTTTTTTTGCCATGGTCTAGAACAATAAGAAACTAAAGTGCATGGGCTATCACCAG